AAATACAAAATAATTAAAAAAATACATATCGGATACATATTGAAAATTTTTAAAAATATAAAAATATATAAAATAAATAAAAAAAAAGTATCCGGGACATATAGAAGGGCATCGGGGCTTCGGTACGTATCGGATACAGGTACATAAAATGTTTACAAGAATTGGTACTTCTTAGGTTCTACAAGTGAATTTTGAAAATTGTCACTGTATTTTATGCATAAAATAGATAATTATTCAGATAAGTATGTAGAAACTTACAGTTTTCATGAACAACTGGAATAATGTTTGAGGCTGTTAATGGGGTATCTTTGGCCTTGGATACATCAGAAAGTATCTTTCCGCTATTGTTCTGATCAAACCAGTCTTCCATAAACCGTGCAGCAGCTCCTTTGTTGTCCCCGCTTACCAATGTGTTTGTACGACTCATAGAAGTTCCATGGGTAGCAAACCAATTGAAGCTACCGACTGGACCCCATTCATCATCAACAAACTTCAAAAGCGTCATATCTTTATCGACATCATATTTGTATTTCCTGCGTTCTTCTGCAGGATTATTGAGATAAGCACTCGGACTACGATTAACCCCAGCATCTAATAGTTCACCTGCAGTTTGAGGCCAAAACAGATCACAACAATATATAGAGGTCAAAAAGAGGGAGTACCCACAATTTCTTCAAGATACCATTCATACACTCATAAGCGTCATTTCCTGGAAACTGGCATAACAGTTTGAACCATAAAATCAAACACAAAGCAGGCTAAACAAAGTGATCCATAGCTATCCTGCTATTGATGGCACTTAATAATGTGCAGTTGAACAATTGAAGTGAAAATGAGCAGTTGTTTTGAAAACAATCAAAGACCTTGAGCATGAGGCAGGCTAATCAAGGTATGTTTAAGTTCAATTCAAGATAGGCAAACATAAAGAAACTTGTTAAATGGGGGAAAAAAAGGTTAGTTAAAGACATTACGCTCTTAGTTAACAAATATATATCCTTAAAATGTATAATCTACATGAACTAAGGAATATGTAGAACCAATTCTATAGTATTTCCCTGTGGAACAATAGCATAGTTAGCAAACATCACCCAAGGAAATATCATATGCCAAATGAATCAAATGAAAAATTACTTGATGAGACGAGTATAACTTATGATTTCCTCAAACTTATGTCCATAGCGAACATGCTTTGGCAGCAAAATAACATACTGCACCCGAGCTTCAGAGTGTTCATTAAGGATACTCTATTTAGTAAAATACGGCCTACAAAATGCTGGAAGATGGGTACCCAGAAGATCCATTTATAACAACACAATACGAGAAGGAAAACATGTTCAAAGAGAACCCGGAGGCTGGATTTGAACGATTAATTGGTTGGAATTATTTCTCTAATGCAGATTTCATGTGACAGAATGGAAAGACTAATTACTAAAGAAAAATCTTAAGAGTTTCCTTACACATATATGCATGAAAGAGTGACAACTCAATCAAACATAAATAAGAAAACTACAATTCATCATGGATTATGAGTCTAAATATCAAATTCTATTACCTTTATTCACATATATTGATCCAGGACGAAGGTTACTGTGAGCTTGTACAATGCTCTGCTCTATTCCATCAACAAGAGCATCGAAAGATTGACGCACAAAACCAAGTGATGTTACGATATATACAACATATTGAAGATAACCACCAGGGCCAGCATGCGTGTGAATTCCGCTAATAGCAACATTACTTTCTGTGTAAAGATTTCCGTACCTAGAAAAGCAACAAGGATATAATTAATTCAATATCCACAATATTAACAACACAGAAAGTGTCTACAACAAATAGCAAAAATTTAAACCTTATTCCCAATAAATTGGGGTTGTCTAGATGAATCCTTATCTTCCGTTCCGCTCTATTCTTCACTAAAAGCTAGAACTACTGAGATATTTAAAGCAACAATATTCTAATTTACTTTTTGTTTGAGCAAGTATTACCGACTCGAAGTATGGAAAATCACTTAGGCTCCACAATATATAGCAAATCCAGGTGGGATGCTGAGGGTAAAACTTAATTTGACTACCTTGATTTCAACCTCTCGAGTAATTTAATTGTCACCAGTTGTGAGGCCATGCAAGCATCGAGATTCACAAATACAACCCGATTTCCCTGTGGTTCTGCTACAATGAAAGCACGGGCTCGCAACCTAAAGTGAACTCCGGATGCGATCTGGTCTGTGTTAGCGTATCCCATCATGTTGACATCAGCTGCGGGCCCCGTAATGTCATAGCTACCGAGCCCAATTAAGTACTTGGAAGCTGAGAATGCTACTCTACTGTTCTCTAGCAGGAGTAACAGCAATATTGGTAACCAAATCATTCGAAGTGATCCAGCCATCATGCTCTACCAAGTAGCCAGAGTATACCTCAATAAGATGTCACAGTTTCCTTCATTAATGACATAATCCGTGTAAATATTTCTTTATATCATAAACAAACATATTAAGAAACCAAAACCACACTTGATTAGTATTAGGAATAAGAAAAAGTATTATACGTCCAACAAGGGGGAAATGAAGGGTTCAATATAATCATCTAAATAAAATGATCAACAAATGGAAATATAGAGACTTGAGTCAAATTCAACTGCTTACAGCAGAACTCCAAGTAGTAAGAATGGCTAAGCATTATATAAATCTACAAATATTGACAATAATCATGCTTTTGTTGAGATATGTACATTCAGCTGAAAGGGTAACGATTAAAAAACAAATAATTGTCAGCATCTGACTGAATGCGTATGCCATGGACTGTCTGGAATACGACCTAATGTCGGATAAATGACAAAGCACCAAAGAGAGTTCATTCAAATTTTGCGTTACGATTAGGTAATTACATGATTTTGATTGAAACTCAATTACTAAATCAATTCAAAACATTCAAATAGGACTAAAATACAAATTTTATATTCCTATACGTAATGCATAAATTCTCACAAACATTGTAAAAAGATTGGTTTTGTTAAGTTAAAATCCCATGTTAATTATATATGAAGAAGTTTCCCTTTAAAAGTTCCTCCACTAACAAGAGGTGGCATTTCACGATTGGGGTTCTCAAACAAGCTACTAGTCTGATAAGGGCAAAATGGCACGTTGATTAAATACTAAAACAAATACAAAACCCATAGACAAACATGAGAGAGCTTCAACAATTTACCTTGGCATACAGCAGGAATCCAGAATTCCCGATGAATGAAATCTGATAACTAAATTTCCTGCTTCACTCCACGATTTCGTATTCAAGTGCGTGTTGCGTATGAGATATGAAAGATGAAAGAAACCCCAGAGTATTTTAATGAGATGAAGTGGCGGAGAAGTGAAGAATGTGAACATATCTTGTTCCCATGGGCAGATTCCAACCTTTCAGCAGTATTCTTCATTGAATTCACACAACTGTACAAATGATAATTCTTTTTCGATTCGTAATAGACAAAAAATTGATCAATATTTAAGAATAACATTATTTTCTCCTCCA